CTGTCAAGGTTAAGATTTTTTTCCTTTTCATTTTATCAGCATGATCATGAACTACATTTGAAAACAATTGTTAAATCTATTGTGCTGGGTTGCAGTGGTGGTGGTGGCGGCGGTGCATGCCCTTAATCCCAAGCACTGGGGAGACAGAGGCAGGCAGATCTCTGTGAGTTTGAAGCCCACTTGGTCTATAGAGCAAGTTCTATGACAGCCTGGGCTATTACACAGAGAAACTCTGTCTCAACCTCCCACCCACCCCCCAAAAAAATCTATTATGCTAACCTGGTTGAACATTTATAAGATAGTACTCAAAAATTTCTCTGTAATCAAACATTGCAACTTGGGGCAATTAAGTGAAATGTGTGTCTCTGAGTAGTAAATTCAGAAAATTATTTTAAACTCTGGAGCTGGATAAGCTTCTACAAGCAATTCTTAAATAACTGTTTTTCTTAAAGTCCACGGTGTTCTATTTACCCATCTTCTCTCATGGTGGTTAAGCATGTAGTGATCTGATCTGTGTCAAAAGAAGTACCACTCCCATGTGTGGATGAAGCGTTTCTTAGATCATTGATTGCTGGTGTTTCTTGTTGGTCTTTCTATACACACTGGTCATGATTGTGGCAAAAGATTTTCATACAGGAAAAAGTGTACTTCGCTGCTTACTGGGCATTATGGAAAGGTGTTAGGGAGGAGTTCTTGAATTACATCAATCTTGAAACAAGAACAACATTTTAGAAACAGGTTTCAAAAAAATTCATTTCATTAGTGTTCGACTGACTAGCTGCCAAGTGTGAGACAAGAAGTGACAATAACAAGTAGGTTAAGTGGTAATTAAGAAAACAATATATGATTAGTTAGCTATCCATTGCTATGACAAAATATTGGAAAAATAATATTAAAAAGGAAACTATTTCAGAGGCTTATGACTAATTAATGGGCTGTATTGGTACAATGGCAACATAGCAGACAATACTGGGACAATGTGTAGGAGAAATATGAAGAGGGAGGGAGAGAGGGAGAGAGGGAGAGAGAGAGAGAG